AACTTTTGATTCCTTGAGGTCTATATATTCCAAAGAACCCAAGGGTGAAGTCGACCACTTTCCAGACCTACTGGCGGAAGTGTGGTCAATCGATTAAGTGCCATGAGCCCCGAGTTTAGATCTTCGACATCTTCCGGATTGAACGTCTGTGTTTAAGGTACCTTTTTCCAAACTTCTATTGCATAGTGGCACTTGATTCTGTTTCATTGCATCTACAGCAATGAGCATCATTCACGATTTGACGGACGGCTAGCTGATCTCCCACTGGAAGGGCTCGATGAAGGGCTTTCTAAACAAAAAGCTTTACCTTTGGAGCAGTGTGAAGATTCCAGACTTGCTCATTCCAGTTCACCACTGTGAGTTCACACTGGTCTCAGTCGTTCCAAAATCCTCCGCAGCAACTAGGTACCCTGATTTGGTTGAATACTCACCATTTGCATTTTTGAGCCAAATCCTCTGGTCTGCACACCTCAGTCTGCTTGGTTTGATGCCCAGGATAAGGTGCTTATAGCGTGGGAGGATTACTTCTATTTTTTCCATGTCCCACTAAGAAGAGTTATCTTTCATTAGATCCTTCACTAAACTCTTGGAAAGCTTCCGGCTGGGAACCAAAAGGTCTTAATAACTCCTGAGACGAAACCCAAGGATCATCCCAAATCTTGATTGATCCACCATTTCCTACTGCCCAGCCTAATTGTTTAAGAAGCAGGTCCCTTTCTGCTATTATGCTTTTCCAGCCGTGGGAGCACACAGAGGGAATTGTACAGTCCAAGATGGAGGTTTCTGAGAAGTATTTTCCTTTGAGGATTCTTCCCAAGAGACAGTTTGACTTTGTTAGCAGCCTCCAGCTAATTTTTGCCAAGAGTGCATCATTGAAATCAGATATGTCTCGAAATCCCAAGCCTCCAAATTGTTTTGGTTTTGCCATCTTTTCCATGATATCTAGCTAGTTTTCCTTTTGTTAGGTGATGAGTCCCACCAAAAGCGTATAAGGATCGACTGGATTTGTTTACATAAGGATACTGGCAATTTAAAGCATGTCATTGCATATGATGGCATCAAGGTCACAACACTCTTCAACATTACAAGTTTACCAGCTCTAGAAAGCATCCTAGATGCCCAACTTGCAGATTTTTGGATTATGCGATCAACTATGGATGCAAATAAGTCATTTTTCTTTCTTCTGAAGTGTTCTGGAAGACCCATGTACTTTCCTACTCCTCCTTCAACTTCTATATGTAGCAGCTGCTTGATTTTCTCATTGACGGTGATATATGATTTTTGGTAGTTGATCAGTTGTCTAGATGCTGCTTCATAGTCTGATAGAATTTGGTGTAGGGCCCTGCAGTTTTTCTCATTTGCTGTGCATATAAACATTTTATCATATGCAAAGAGCAGATGATTAATTCTCGGGCACCCTTTAGCCACTTTAACCCCGTGTAGTTTGCCTGAATCCTGAGTTTTACAGCACAAGCCTTAGAGAATCGCACTGCATAGGATAAATAAGTAAGGGGAGAGGGGGTCTCCTTGTCTTATTCCCCTGCTTGGTTTGATATATCCTCTTGGGGCTCCATTTAGCAGAAAGGTAAAGGAGACTGTAGATATGCATTGAGTTACCCACCGAACCCATTTCTCATGAAATCTCAAATTCTCAAGAACTCCTTTTATAAAATCCTATTCCAATCTGTCATAAGCCTTACTCATATCTGTTTTAATGGCCATTGCACACTTTTCCTCTGTTTTTGATGTTTTTAGGAAATGGAGCACTTCATGTGTGACGAGGACATTATCAAATACAGTGGAACCTCTATAAATTAATACTCGATAAATTAATAATCACTATAAATTAATAAATTTTGCTGGTCTCAAGTCGGGCCAATGTAAAAATCCATCAAATTCGATAAGATAATAAGATAATAATATTTTTTGAAACCCTTATGTAAATATACGGTCCCAACAAAAACATAAATTAATAATTATATAAATTTATGCAAATATATGTAAATATAATATTTTAAAATATGACTAATGTGTTTGTTTTTATTTAAAGTTGAAATTTCATTGATTCTCATCTCTCTAATTATTATATCAGTAGCTCTTATTGCTGTTTTACTATATACATTCAAAATTTATGATGATTTTTAGATGTGATAATTGATTTTCTTACATGTAAATATTTTTAAATGTATTGTAGTGTTATTTTCAATTTTATCATCAATAATATTGATAGTAGCTATGATTTTTTAATAAATTTTTAACTTATGAACATGTATATTTTACATGGACAATCCCAATATGGTGTTAAAACTATTTTATTGCGATAGTTATGATTGTTAATTATAATTTATACTATGAGATTTGTTAAAAACTTTAAAATATAATATTATTCTAAATAAATTTTTAGAAAATTATATGCGTAAATCAATTTTTTCTATAAATTATTAATTATTAATTTAATTATTAATTTATAGATAATTAATAATTTAATCCAAGAAGAGTTTTACAAATATCTCTATAAACATAAAGTACAAATTTTATTTTTCAATTGGTTTGAATACTATGCATTCAAAAATAGTATCAATTTTCCTTTTTCTAAAACTGTGAATCCTATCACCACTCGCAATAAAACCCCTGAATGGGAAACCCTTGCCAATGGAAAAATTATCCGTTCCAATCACCCCCCTCAACAGGGAATCAAGCTTGAATTATTGGGAACACCAATTGAAGCGATTCGTTTTAAACGTCCCCAAGATGATGATAAGACTAATATAAAAAATATCATCGTCCAAAATAATTTTTCAAATACGAATCTTGGAACGATAGGCAAACAGCTTGATAGAATTGAAAAATCGATTCAAAATCAACTTATCACTTCAATAGATTCTACCTCTGAAAAGAAAACAAAAAAACCCATATTCAAACCTTTCCAAATTTCAAGCTCTAGTGTCAAAACCTACCAAGAGACGAATAAAGAATTCATTCGTGCTCTTCAAAGCCAGCTAAGTAAGATAGACATAGGAGAAAATAACACGCCTCAGGAATCTGACATTCCTGATACTCCTACTTCTAAAGCCCAGATAAATACTCTAGCAAATGAATCCTATTCTAGTGAAACCTCTGAGCAAAATTCAACCCCTGAGATTAACCGTCTTGGTCGGGAAAACCATCAAGATCATCAAATAATCTCTGCCCCTGACTTAGGACAAATCCAGACAATAGAACAATCTAGGTTCAATTCATCTTCAGTTTATGACTGGAATATCGATGGAATATCTGAGTACAATATCTTATATTTCCTACAAAAGATGACTATGGCCGCAAACGCCTATAGAACTCAAGTAGGAAATGAAGATAGAACCGTAGCTGAGCTCCTAATTGCTGGGTTTTCAGGCCAGCTTAAAGGATGGTGGGATAACTACCTAAACAATCAGCAACGCTCAGAAATTCTAGATGCCGTCAAAACGGATGAGGATAACGTGCCCATACTAGATAATTTTGGAAATCTCCAACAAGATGCTGTAGCCACCTTAGTTATAGCCATAACCTTGCATTTTATAGGAGATCCCTCAGTACTTAGGGATAAGAACGCTGAACTCCTTTCAAACCTTAAATGCAAAAGGCTTAGTGATTTCCAATGGTACAAAAACACTTTCCTTACTAGGGTTTTACTCCGCCAAGATTCAAACCAACCTTTTGGAAAGAAAAATTCCTCGCAGGACTTCCAACCTTTCTAGGAGAAAAAGTTAGAAATAAAATTAGAGATTCCACGGGAACTCAAATAATTGATTATGATAATTTCACTTATGGAGAATTGATCAGTATTGTTCAACAAGAAGGTCTTAAGATCTGTCAAGATCTAAAACTTCAGAAACATCTTAAATGGGAACTCAAAAGAACAAAAGTAGAATTAGGCTCATTTTGTAGACAATTCGAAATTGGTCCCAGCAAAAATAGTAAGTCCTGCATAGGAGATTGCAGTAATTCTTACTACTCTAAAAATAAGCCTAGAAAATACTCTAAAACCTATAGAAATCATAAATCTCACGAAAATTCCTGGCAAAAACCTCGTAAGAGATTTACTCCAAAAGAAATAACAAACTCTAAACCATTCTACAAAAATCTCACTTGCTTCAAATGTAATAAAAAGGGTCACACTTCAAAATTCCGTCGTTTTAACAGAAAAATCCAAGAACTCGGTCTTGGAGAAGAACTTTCGAGTAAAATATCAAATCTCTTGCTAGATCATTCATCATCATCGAGTAATGATTCTGATTCATCATTATCTTCTGAAAAAGCCCTACAAGTTGATGAGCTAAAAAACTCATCATCCGGCTCTGAATCCGATGAAAATAAAAGAAATGTACTTACAAAAGATCAAGAATTACAGATTGAAATCTTGAATTCCATTTCAAATCTTCAGACGAAACAAAATTTTTTAGAAACAATCCTTTCTTCCCTTAATGAAAAAGAAATAAAAATCTCTGAAAACACATCAAAGCCTCATAATCCAACATCTTCAAAATCATCGTATGATCTAACCACAATCCTTAACAAAAGAAAGAAAGATAGTTCTAAAACAACAATTCAAGATCTTAGGATGGAAATAAAAGAGGTAAAAAATGATCTCAAAACTCTTAGAGAAAAACAAAAAAGGGATTCCGAGTATTTTCACTCAATTATATCTTCTATCAAAGGGAATCATGATTCTAGTTCGGATGAACAAGACAATGATAACCTAGATAACATAGAAGATGATATCAGTCTCAAAGAACAAATACAGTCTCTAGACTCTGCCCCTAAAGATTTCCTCTGTGTTTTAAGAGAAATCACTTCCCGAAAATATAAAATAAAAATCACACTTGTTTTTTCTGAAAATTACAAAATTGATACGATCGCTCTGTTTGATACAGGCACTGATCTTAATTGCATCAAGTCTGGGCTTGTCACAAAATGTTTTCATCTAGAAACACGAGAAAAATTATCTGCTGCTAATAATTCCAAACTCCGCATAACATCTAAAGCAGAAGCTTCAATTTTTAAAGATAATATATTCATCAAGACTGCATTCGTCTTAACAGATGATATATATCAGAATGTTATATTAGGAACTCCTTTCATAAATTTAATCACACCATACAAAGTTATGGATGATTCAATTTCTTTTAAAACCCAAAACAAAAAACTGTCTTTTCAATTTCTTGAATCACCTAAAAAGCGAAGTCTAAATTTAATAAAAGCTTGCTCAATACAAGAAAATTTCTTAAATTCTTTAATATATAGTAAAACATTCCATTTGGAAAATTTAAAATCTGAATTTTTACTACAAAAAACAAAGAAGGCTTTAGATACGAAAGAAGTAAAAGACAAAATTTTAAATCTTGAAAAACTATTTGAAAAGGAAATTTGTTCAGAATTACCAACAGCCTTTTGGAATCGCAAACAACACATTGTTGACCTGCCACACGAGGGAAATTTCAATGAAAAAGAAATTCCCACTAAAGCTCGTCCTATACAATTGAACTCTGAATTAGAAAAACATTGTAGGAAAGAAATTTCTGATCTTTTAAACAAAGACTTAATTTCAAAATCAAGATATCCTTGGTTATGTGAATAAAAATTCTGAAATTGAGAGAGGCACTCCTAGGTTAGTAATAAATTACAAACCTTTAAATACCGCATTAAAAATGGATTAGATATCCAATACCAAATAAAAAAGATTTACTTCAAAAGCTTTATTCTGCCCACATATTTTCAAAGTTTGATCTTAAATCAGGATTTTGGCAAATTCAAATCTCTGAAACAGATCGCTATAAAACAGCATTTACAATTCCTTTTGGTCAATACCAGTGGAATGTAATACCATTTGGTTTAAAAAATGCACCTTCGGAATTTCAAAGAATCATGAATGACATATTTTCTGAATATTCAAAATTTTGTATTGTTTACATTGATGATATTTTAATATTTTCAAATTCTCTTGATGAACATTTTAAACATTTGAAGACATTTTATTATGTAGCAAGAAAAAATGGTCTTGTTGTTTCAAAAACAAAAATGTCTTTATTCCAAACTAAGATCAGATTTCTAGGGCATTACATATCGCAAGGTATGATAACCCCGATAGAAAGATCTTTAGAATTTGCAAACAAATTTCCAGATAAAATTTTAGATAAAACCCAATTACAAAGGTTCCTTGGTAGTCTCAATTATGTATTAGATTTCTGTCCTAACATTAATAGGATAGCAAAACCATTACATAGTCGTCTAAAGAAAAATCCAGTTCCTTGGACAAAAGTGCATACTGCACTAGTACAAAAAAATTAAAAAAACAGGTTCTTGACGAGAAAGTATAATACAATTTACATCTTCGCATTGGAATGATACCCAAAGAAACTATTCTACTATTAAAAAAGAGATTTTAAGTATAGTACTATGTATACAAAAATTTCAAAGTGATCTCTTGAATAATTTTTTTTTATTACGTATCGATTGCAAAAGCGTTAAAGATGTTTTACAAAAAGATGTTAAACACCTGGCCTCAAAACACATTTTTGCACGATGGCAAGCAATTTTAAGTATTTTTGATTTTGATATAAAATATATTAAAGGAGATTCAAATTCTGTTCCAGATTTCTTGACAAGGGAATTGCTTCAAAACAGGTATGATGCCTCCGAGGAAGATTGATAAAGGAAAAGGCATATCCCTGGAACCAATCCCAGAAAAAACCTTACCCCCAAACACATCTCCACAGATAAAAACAGAACCCTGGATCTCCGTTACAAAAAAGAATGTGAAAAAAAGATGAACATTCTGATTCTCTTCAAACTCCAGAGAAAATCATGGATCAAAT